TGATCCAGAGTTCCCCAGCTCTGCCTGGGCTCTTCCTTCCACCCGTCTTGCACTTCATCTCCCCTCTTCACCTCTCCAGCCATACTGAACTCTTAGCTACTTCCAGTTCCTTGAGGCATCTCTTTCACATGTCCTCCGCTATTTTAACAGTACTGCCACCTTCTTCCTTTATGGCAGCCTTCTTTGGCTGGTTTACTTTTGCTAGGTTACATTTCTGAAAGCTTATTTAATACCATTTATCTCCTACATTATAGCACTTGGCTTCACACTATTGTAAATACTTATTAAATTTTCCATATTTCCAGCCAGTAGTTTCATAAGGGAAAGGACTACTTTGTCTGTGTATAAAACTCTACTCCTATCACTTCAGTTGAATAAAAAAATTAATGAATGTTGTAAATGAAAAACTGATGGTGTATGTGATTAAGATTCATAGCGCTCTAGCCTATAAATGATGATTATGCTGACAGTTGGTAATACTAACAGATGGCATTGCTGAGTGCTTAACTAGTGCTCGGCTCCTTGCTAAATGCTTCGCATTAGTTATATCATTTAATCATCATGACATCTCACAAGGTAGTTACCATTGTTATTTCTATTTTACAAATGAGATAACTGGGCTTGGAGACATTCTGTAACTTGTCTGTGGTTCCAGAACTAGTAAGTGGAAAAGTTAGGATCCAAATCTAAGCAAGGAGTTCCAGTTACCACTTGGCTATACTGCTTTCACATTGAGGACTAGGGTAGTATTAGATCATCAGGAAGTCATGTGTCTTTCTACATTTTTCCATGCAAAAATGTGTCATGACTTTCCCGACAACCCAATAGTCTCTAAATTTAGGAATTTTATAGTTCAGCATATAAATAGAAAATTAAAAAGATGGTAGGGGAGCAGAGGTAATGATAACTGACCTTAGTTTTCTAACTCTTATTTTACTGCTTACAATAGTTTATCCTCAATGATGTCATACTTTCACAAAAGAGAGGTCTTTTTTTCCCCCCTCCCCTCAGGGAAAAGAGACTATCAGGAAAAGAGAAGTCCTTTCCAATGCAAGAAATTGGCAATTTTGCTCCAATTTTCTTCCAACCTATACATTCTCTTTTTATCAATGTATTGGACAGTTGGTCTCAGGAACTACTGTCATATGGGAAGTTATAAAAGGTGAGCCAACTCGGATGCCTAGTTCTGTTTTGAAGAAAATTGCTGGTGGGGACCAGCAGTTAGCATAATGGCTATGTCGCTGGACTCCCATGTAGTCGACCGTGGTTTGCATCCCGAACCAGGTGGCTTAAAACTCACGGCAGGGGCATGTCCAAGCCTGGCCAAGATCCCAAGAGGAGAACGGAGTAGAAGGGACTGTGGCGTGGCCATCCACCCTGGGGAGTGATTTCTCATTTTCTGTTTCTCTGTCTCTCTCTGTCTGTCTGGTGAGCGCATGCACCCTATAGCAAAAACCTCTCCAAAAAAAAAAAAAATTGCTGGTGGTTTTGGACAAAACTTAATTTCTCTTGCTCATGTGAAAAGTTAACACTTTGAACTGCATGGGTTCTAGGTCTTGCAATCTGTTACTTTATTTTGTGCAAAGGAACAAAGAATGCTGGCTTCATGTACAATTTTAGCTGTTTGTTGAAGCCTACTTCCTTATCAGAGAGCCAGCTCCTTGCTCAGACTGCTAGATAAAAATAAAAATCTCTTGTGAGGGGCCAGCAGGTGGCATGGTGGTTAAGACAGTGGACTCCCACATGGCTAACCACAGTTTGACTCCTGGACCTGGCACTTTGATTGCATTCTCTCTTCTCTCTCTCCAGTGAGTGCATGTGCCCTATAGCAGATTTAAAAATAATAATAAATAAAATTGAATAATTCTTTAAAAAAATTAAAAACCCTAATGAAAGCCCTACACTGGCAACCTCTTTTGGGACCCCCTTCCATTTGGAAGCTTCACTTTCAATAAAACTCTGCTTTATTACCCTCTCATTCTTCTTGATGGTGAGGCACAAATCAGGTCAATGCAGAATCCTGTCACAGTAATAGCATAAGGTACAGAGGTGGATGTTCTGTTTTCAACTGATGTGTTCTGAATGCATTTGTAGGTAGAGAGAAGCCTATGGAGAAGGGAGAACGAGAAAGGAGACTTGAGAAAGGAGAATTGATGAAGCAAGGTCCCAAGGGAAAGGTGGGGATGGGATCAAGATGATTTATAGAGGATATGAGGGATCTGGGGAGTTAAGAGGATTGGTTGAGGAGATAAATTGGTATAGAATGAAGCCAGATGTTCAAAAAAACAAATGTTATACACTTTATACTTCCAAGTGGGGTTTTCTTGTTAAAATTCCTTAATCAGACATGGGATGGTATTTCCCAATAGTCTCCATCATTGGTTCCCACACACTCGTATATTCCATTCACATGTAAGTATTTTTGTTCTCTCTTATGGTATTACCCAGAAATAGGAAAAGTAGGCTGGACCAGCAGATGCCCTAATGGCGACATGGCTGGACTCCCATGTAGTCGGCCGCAGTTTGAGTCTTGGACCCAGCGGCTTAAAACATACCATGCATGTGTGCCTGTATGCCCAAAATCCTGAGAGGAGAGAATGGAGGAGACGGGATTGCAGCATAGCCATCCCCCCAAGGGGTGATTTCTTGTTTTCTCTCTGTCTCTGGTGAGCACATGCACCCTATAGCAAAAATCTCTCTCTAAAAAAAAAAAATAAGACAAGTAGGCTAGTTTATACTAGATAACACAGAATTTAAGGCTTATTAATCAGGTGAGCATAGAAACACAGGTGGTAACCTGGTATAAATGTAAAAAAAAAAAAAAACCCTCACATAGCTTTTTTGACATGCCTTCATTACCTTAGCTGCTGTTTGCCATGAAATAGCTAGGGGAAATATTTAAATGTTAGATATATGAAAAATATATACATTTCCGATATCTAACTTGTTTTTCAAGCTATTTTCTCAAAGTGAAACCATTTTTGTCCAAGTAATTTTTCAACGATAGAAGTCCAAGGTCTCATTTAGTAAGTTCCTAAATGCCTTGACAGAGATAGCCCCTGTGCTGAGGGCCAGAGCGATGTAGAGAAGTCACAAGCACATTTCTTTGTAAATTGAGGTATGCAACTGTAAAATCACATTTGTAATCCCAAATCTTATTTCCAGAATTCTCCCCACCAGAAGGCCAACTTTCTTGACGTATATTTATGACCTCGTCCTGTCTCTTTCAACTGGATTTTTAAAACAGCAAATAATCCAAACTGTACGGTGACTTTAAATGATAAACTTTTATTCTGAATATACTGTTTTTGCACAAGATTTAACACAACATTTTCTGGGATTATAAATATTTTTATAACAGTATTATACAAATTTTTACAAAATGTTTTTATCAGGCTAGTTAGTTTCCACAAAAGTGTCAAGAGAACATAATAAAGGGGAGAAAAGATCTATTGTTCACAAAAGCCACTTGGTCTTTTGCATGGATGCACACTGAGCATTTCAATAAAAGTATCTCTAAAAGCATGATCCAACAATCATACAGCACAACAAAAAAAGACAGCTTTGCCAGGTCATGATGTCAACTCAATTGGCATCTATACAAGACAGTATCCCATTAGTCTCAGCGGAGTTTCTTTGAGATAATTATGTGAACGAGAGAAAAGGTAGATGAAACTATTGGTAAGGGTTGTTTGATTCTTTGAAATTCTGGAATTTTTCAACACTTGATACTTTTGTTTCATTAATTTACTCTTTACAGAAATGTACAATGAATATTAACAATATTAACATTCGGCTATGGGAAACAATACAAGTTCCAGATAATAATAAAATATTCCAAATTTTGGGCAAGTGAGATAGTCATACTATACACACATAAAAGTCAGAACATCCATTTTGTTTCAGCTTTACACACTTCAATGTCAACTAACATGATAAATGTAATAGCTTAAGAGTTTTAAATTAAGACAAGAATTTAAGCTTTGGTGGAGACAAGACAAAGATTTAAATGAGATGTAAAATACAAGAGAGCATCAAATAAGCAAGTAACACTTGGGTTGCAAAGGTCACTTAAAAGGGATACTGCCTATTTGAACCCCGTAAGGCCAGTTTTAAAGTTAATAAAAGGAATATTATAGGAAAACTTACAAATGGCAGCAACACTGTTTTGTTTTCTCCAAGTTAAGCAATAATGCTTCAAGCATTAGAAACATGAAAAAAGATCATACTAAAATCTTATAGGCCCAGGACCTAGAAATCTCTTCAATCGAACTTGCTAACTATGTCATGTTAAAAACCAGTTACAAATATGGACCACGATTGGTGCTTGGCAGTAATGCTGGTTGTTCAGATGGAGAAAATATAAAGAAACCATTAATGTAAAATTCTTTCTTGTTAACACCAATGCAAGAATTTTTTCCTGTGTTTGAGTGACAAACTACATTTAGCTACTAGTATAGCAAAAATCAAATAAGTAAAAGCATATTTAAAGCTTTTTTATTGATCTCTTGTATCTCCAGTCTTTGAAAATGAGTATTAATAAGAGACTGTAATTTAAGTTCTTGTCAACAGTTAGAACTCACAAAATCTGTTAAATTTAATAAAACAATTTGATGAGGTGTGGAATATTGTCTCAAAAACAGAAGTTTGCTAAAAGTATGATGACTAGTATCAGTCATGAGGACAATATTTTGAGTCAGGGACGTGTTTTTACACAATTTATTACCATGCATATTGTCAAAATATTTTACTTTATTCTATAACAAAAAATAAAGGTTCGTAGCAAGACCTGTGTGTGTAAATATATTCTGATGATAATAGAAATCAAATAGGACCCTGCCAAGAGATGCCAAGTTTAACTGCAAATAATACAACAATAATGTGGTTGATGAAAACATACTATATAACTGACATTAGCCATGAAAATATATTAAATAGATTTTAAACATAATTTTAAGGTAGTCTGTTGTATGCTGGAAGCAATCCAATTGTTTTAATGCGCTTCATTTATATACACAAACTAACAATTTATATTTTATTTCTCCTTCCCAACACTTTCATGATTTAAAATAGTCTAGCAAAAGTTAACAGTAAGTTTAAAATATTTAATTAATAAACAACATGATTTAGACATATCTTTACTGAAATGAGAGGTTCCATTTTTTTTAAATCACTTTGGTGTTTTCTAAAATGTCAATACCAGTTATGGATGGGACTACAAAAATCACAATGCGTTAGAAATGATAACTGATGTCAACGCTTAGAACAATAGTTGGCAAAGTGATTCCATATCTCCCTCCCCACCTAATTTAAAAAAATCTTAAGTAAGGAAATGTACACAAATGGAATCTAGGATATATTGGTGATGGGAGGGAATTACAAATATATGCAAAGCTAAAAATTAAACAAATATAGCTCTTAAACTATGCTAAAGAATTGGCTATATCTTTGATATGTGGAACGTACTAAAGCATGCTGGACATTTCTAATAACTTTGACGTAAAAATAATATATAATAAAATTTCCAGCATATATACACACACCAATATTTGGCATGTTCAAAAAAAGGAAAAATGCTTTTTATCATAAAAAATATCTTCATACTTTCAGGCTTCAGTGAAATTATTCACTATTTCTAGTGAATACATTCATTGTTCTTATCCTTTCTGCAAATACTGTTATCTCCTGAAAATAATTTTTAAAAGCATAAATAATATTCTGCTACCATATTAACCTATAATGAAATATCTGATTTACTACACTAACCATTTTCACCAATGAGGCTGTATAAAAACAATTTTTATTATTCACAATCAAGTATTCATGTGCATACATATAGAGATTCAAGGTTTCCTATTTGTTCAGATTATTGTAAAACCCTCATCAAAATTGCATGGAAATCTGGTTTAATGATGCCATTCGAATGAAGGGACAAAAGCAGCAGCAGCAGCCATTTTTGGATTGTCCGTGCCACTGTTCCAACGAACAAAGAGGAAACCTAGGATGACTCTTCATCGAGAACGTATATGTACTTTTCAAAAAATAAATGTGTCAAATCTGATTTATGTACTTAAAATATCTGTACATAGGTTTTCAGGCAAAAGCACGAATCTGTATAAAATCCATTAATTCTCATTTTACCATTTACCTAACCCAGTCATTCAGCATTTACATTGCACAGTATATTCAGAGTAGTTTAACAACAGTTTTAAAGATGACTTAAGTGCATTTATACTGCAAGATTCAGATTCTTACATAACAATAATGTCACTCAGTTAACTTTTCAATGGACTACACTCTACAGTAAGAGAAAAACAAACCAAAAAGTTAAAATAGCAGCAGCATCATGCAAAATACCCTTGGTAACCAAAGTTCAATTATCACAAGAAAAACATTTTCCCCTCCCCCCAACAAGCTTTTCTTAGAGCATTTTTAAATACTTGGCTAGCACTACAGAACTGTACTGTGAACATAAGGGACATTACATCAAAGCATTTATTAAGGGCTTACATTTATGAGGAAATATGTCACATATTCAAAGTTCCCCCTCAAGCACCTTTAGTTTAATAAATTCTTAGTTATTATTTTCAAACTCGCAATGCATTATTCCACCAAAATTTAATTGGTCTTCAATTGTATTTGATTTTTTGGCAAAAAAGCCGTTCTTTGTAAGGCATTTTTTTCATGGCAAATTTTTTTGTAGAAAATGAGCCATTGTTTATAATTCAACAATTCAGACCAATATTCTCTCTCTCCACAAATATGTATATGTATTTCAATAATAACTACTCTAAGCAGAAATTAACTTTTAACAGAAGAATAAATAAAGGTAAAAAATAACTTTTTCTTCCCCTATAGATTTCTTGGTAAAATTGCAACAAGTCAAAATTCCATGTCAAAATCATGACTTTTTTTATGGTTCATAAACAATTATACGGGGAGCCCTTTTACATGAAATCACCAACAATACAACAATAAACTCTCCACTTTTCCAATAGGGCATGTATAGGTTTTGCTTTGATGTTATACATAGATTATGCAGCATTCACACAAGTTGAAGGATCTGACACCCTGACATGCAGCCAGTGGGTGCCTCATGAGTCTGTGCCTTAGTATGATGCCATGATACAGGCCCAGCTAATGTTCTGTTGATTCGACAGTTGACCCTATCTTAATATAACTGAGGGCTCATGTTTGGCAGGGTCTGGAGTTTAATTATGGAGATTCGGTTTTGGAAGGTCATAACAGGCAGTGTCTGCTTCCAGATACCAGCCAAAGGAGTATACACTGGATTCCAAAGATAGACCACAGGGAGGGATTTAACCCAGAAACACCACCACAGTCGGTATAATCCTCCTGTTGGGAAAAAAGAGAAGATAAAAATCCTAAAATATACAATACCTCTTTCAGAATAACCCAAATTTAGTCCACTTCTGAACTCACCTTATAAAATTGCTTTAATTGGAAAAAAAAATAAATGGCATTTTTTCAGATTTTACTTTGTGCAATTTGAGATAAAGTGATTTCCCTAGCACCATATGACAGATGTCTTAAAATTTTGGCTGTAGATCTGATAATCAAGAATGAGATATTTAGATAATAAATTGGTTGGACTGACATACCAATTTTTATATTAAAACCTTACTTTTACAGCATCAAAAATTTCAATATATTTATAAATGCAAGAGCTAGAAGTGAAATTTAATATTAAGTTTTATAATTCGCCCAAATTACAATCGTAGCAACTACATATGTTCCATAAGGAAAAGTTTGGGACTGTAAAATAGCACCAAAAAAAAGCACCCATTTTACATATCACTCACATCCAATTCCTAAGGTGGAACTACAGTATATATGTAGCTAGATCTTCATCAAGAATTCAGGAAAAATGAAGAATAATGTATTTGAACCATAAACAATGAAAGGACACTCTGAAAATATATATATTAAAAATAAACAGCTACATTAGAGATAGAGGTTTGCCTTATTTAGAGAACCATAAAATATTAGCAATTAATATACTCTTGTTCCTCACAGTCTAGCTGTGGACTGTTTGTTTACCTAATAATGCAAAATTACGCTTTACTCTTTTTCCTAGGGTCTATCTTTTATAACATTTTCTACACCCTTTCATTTCTTTTAAAATAAGACAGTGAATTTCATTTTTAAAACCTCACATAAAATTATTCTCCTAAACACTTTTTACCACTTCATTAGTCCAAAGTTCACCTTTCAAGAATCTATATAGTAAGTTATATAAGTAATTTCTTTTCTTCAGAATATTTTTACAAAGACTGTAAAGCCCCAACGAATGAGAATTTTGGTTCTTTTTGTTCACCATGGTTTAATGCAGTGCTTGCCACCATAATTAAATGAATAAATAATCTTTCTTGAATTTTATTTCAAGACAGAACTCTTTTTCAAAAACAAACTCATTAAAGAGATGGGAGAAAGGTATCCATAATCTATCTCCTAAATTTAAACAGAATTATAAAACAAATTCTTGGTCCTCATTCTACTAAGCCTTTCAGGAACATGTGACAATGTTTGACGTATTTGACAAATCCTTGGCTAATGTGCTCTTTTGGTTGTCCTTGAAACTTGTTTGTGGCTGATCTTAACCTCTTTGGCTTGACCTCTTTTTCTTGCCCTCTAAATATTAAGATTTTTCCAGGGATTAGTTCTCTCTCTTTTCTTCTTTATTTTGTTCCTAGGGGATCTAATTCAATACAATATCTATTTGCTAAAACTCACCTTTTACATCTTCAGCCTTTAATACTTCTCTGACATGAGCGTTATCTCTACACTCGCACTCTGTACATCTCAAGATTTCAAATTTACCTCAAAGGATTTTCTTCTGAATAACAATTAAAGGGACTTCTTCAGGAACAGACTACAAGTCATTGCGATTTTTCTTCTCAAATCCTATCCATCAGAACGTCCTCTTAATACCAGCTTCAAGATAGACCCTCAATCCTACTACATCTCACTATTTCAGATCCAGGTCACCATTACTTCTCACTGATTTTTAGTTGCCAGAGTGCATGTGCACTCTCCAATAAAGATAGAGAGAGAGAGAGAGAGAGAGAGAGGGAGGTAGAAAGCAGTCCCGGTGGGGTGCAGTCATGCTGCAATCACTTCTACATTTCTCCATCCTGTTGGGATGCTGGGCATGCACAGCCACCTGGACTCGAATTGTGATCAGCCATGTGGAATCAAGCTCCTTTCTTGAAAGCTGGCTCATTGCTTTGACTCTACCCTGCAACAGTTTTTTCTCCAAAAAAGCAATTCTTTCTCAAAGTCTTCAAAGTCTTATGCAGTGGAGTCGCCATTTGATCTCCTCACACCCCTCTGCTCCAGTACCACAGCAAGCTGTTTACTATATCAGGACCTTTGCACTTGTTCTCTTCTCTGTTCAAATAATTTTTCTCCAGATTGGGCAACCATATAAAAATCAAGTTACCCAGGTATATTTGAAATTAAGATTTAAAAAACAAATATTTTAGTGTAAATATATCTCAAGTATCCTATACTCACATGGCCTAATAAAGAATAGCTGTGCAGTAAGTATTTGATAAATGAATAGCAGGTACTCAATAAAGCAGCATATTTATTGACTAGTGAAATACTAATTTTAAGGCCTAATTGTTACTTATCCAGGAATACTCCCCAGTTCTCGTTAAGCATTAACTTGGTGGAAGAGAAATTAGCATATGCTTCAGATCCATTTTTTGTGGACATATGGACATATTTTGTGTTGGAAATTTTTACTAATGTAAAACATATCTTTACATTCTAGAAATGTGTTATGGAAAGAAAAATATTCTCTCTGGACCATACTTCACTGTTTTTGTTTTTATATATTTTTTTCCCTTTCATTTCCTTTGTTGTGATTATGAGATATGTCTGTTTCAGTTGGGAGGTGGTAGTTTAGATAAGTTATTTGGAATTCCTGTAGCCTACATGTTGACTCACATTGAAAAGCCTGCCTTTTTAGTTTCCTGAGCATATTTTCTCATGCATTTTGCCTTGTGGAACCACATATACTAAGACTTGAAACTATTCTATAAAATAAATTATGAGAAACATTCTAAATCACAGAAGCACAGATGTGGGGAAAACCTCAGTATTTTCCCTATCTAATAGAGACTGAAATTCTACTCACATCATGACCATACAAATAATTTTAATTTTGAAAGATCAATTGTAGTAAAAAATAACAGATTGGTACCTTGTTTTAGATTAATGCATTAACATAGAAAAAGGACGCAATGCCAATATAATGTATATTTATTTGAAAAGACAATAGACTAATTTTACTAGACTTCCTCATAGGGGACCTCAAAATCTGAGACGACTAATTATACATAACTAGAACTAGAACTTATGAATTTTTAATTTATTTAAAAAGATTTAGAAAAAAATTTTCTTGAAAAAAGTGTTCTAGTCATTTGGCTAAGTTTCTGATCTTTCTTTTCTGAACACTAGTCATCATTTAATTTCCTTCAATGGGCAAATCACTGGTGAAGTTATCCACCTAATAATTAACCTTTGACTTTAGTTTAGTTTGTAGTAAAGTCACCCTCAGTAACTTCAAAGGAAATGTTTATTTATTGCCAGAGGGTACATGTACTCACTAGAGAAAGAGAGAGAGCAGTCCCACAATGGGATGTGATCATGCTGCAATCCCTTCTCCTCCATTTTTCCATCCTGTCAGGATTTTGGGCATGTGCATACACACATCTAGCATGTTTTTTGAACCGTGGTCAGCCAAGTGGGATTCGGCTTCTTTAACCATGAGGCAACAGGGCCAGGTCAAAACTTTATATTTCAATTCTGTAGTTAGGCGGATACTGAGGAGTATCTGTTTGTTTGTTTTAAAGATGCCGTGTCATGATCCTTCTGCCTTTGAGTAGCTGGCCTACAAATGTGTACCACTGAGCTTGGCTTCTTGGGATGGCTGGGATTTGAACCTAGGCCTCCTGTGTGGCCTCAGCTTGGTGATTAGGCATTGTCTGCCAGGTGTGCTACTGCATCGGGCCAAGATAACTCTTTTAATAGCTATAATGTTCCCAACAAATTATTGTTCTCTTACATGACATCTTAATATCCTTACCAAATTACCACAAGATAGGTAGTATGTCTGTTCAACTTTTTAAATGTAGAGAGATTAATAAGTATATACATACACATTTACTTATGTGCTCAATGTATGCTTTAAAAATTTGCATGAAATAATAAACTTTCTTAAAGGATAGATACTGGGTTGCTTCACTTTCTTCTTTGATTAATAAACAAGCTAGTTTTTTCATTTGTTCTTCTTTACTGCCCAAGTCTTTGTGAAGACGTTCTCAAAAGGTTTCATTTGAACACCATGTTTTATGGAAGTCCTTATGGTATGAAGCTTCCTAATTGTATATATCTATAATGTGTAAATAAATATGCTCTATATTTCATTTGAAATCCACAGAAGGCAAAGGCCCTAACTTTAGACTGAATAAAATCTTAAGTCCACTAGAGATATATTACATTTATTTTTTTTTAAAGTTTTTGCCCTAAGGTGCAGATGCTTCCCAGAGACAGTAAGAGGGAAAGTAAGAAATCACCCCCACCCGGGGGTAGGGGGATGGCCATGCTGTAATCCCTTCATCTCTATTCTCCTTGGGATCTTGGGCATGCACACACATGAAACTGGCATGATTTTCAAGTCACCGGGTTTGGGACTCGAAAAGCAGTAGATCATGTGGGAATCCAGCACCTTAATCACCATGCCACCTGCTGGCTCAAAATATATTACTTTTTAGAAGACTTCAAAGATGATACTATTTCACCTTTCCTCTGAGCATATAACTTCATCCATTATAAATTGCTGGTTAGAGCCAAACTAACACTGAAGCCTGGGCCTTGATCTTTAAGCTTTTGAATCAATGGTGAAAAATGTAATACATTTTTATACTATTTTACATATAGGATATAAAACAATATTTTGATACTCATATGTTCTAGTTTGCTTATTTCTATTATGACTACAAATGGGGATAACTGCAGAAATATAATTTCATTATACTTTTCTTATGTAAGTGATGGATTATTTATATTTTAAGAAACCAATGTATTGGGCCAGCTGGCAGTGTGGTGGTCATGGCAATGGGATCCCACACGGCAGACTGTGCAGTTCGATTCCTGGACTTGGGCTTGCAAAACATGCTGGACGTGTGTGCCCAACATCCCAAAAGGAGAAATGGAAAAGGGATTATGGCACAACTATCCCCCATGGAAGTGTTTTCTCACCTTCCCTCTCTCTCTCTTTCTCCAGTTAGCATACACATTCTCCAGTAACCTTTTTTAAAAAATCAGTGTTATATTTCAAATAGATATTTATGTATCAATTTTTAAAATGTGCACATGGAGAGGGACTATTTCATTTTAGTTTTTTAGTTGTTAAAATCAGCCAGGACTCCTTGGATCTTTTGCCATGGAAATCATTATTGTCTTATTCCAGAACAAATCTGGTTATTTTCTGAAACCCCCTCTGTCCCCCACCTTTTCTCCCCCTCTGAAGAATTCATTCCTTTCACAGTAATGGCTACATCTCCACCTAGTGGTTTTTTAATCTGTGAAAACCTGTAGACCAATGAAGAAAAGCCACAACAAAAATTGTTCTAGTAATGCAATCATGATGATTCCAGAGCCTCAGAAAAGACATTTCAAAACAGTAAATGAAGCACTGAACACAAATGCAGGCCCCACATGTCTATTTAGTAGTATAATTATCTAATTCAAATTTCTCAAAAGGTGAATAATGCATAGTAATTTTGACTTAGACAATGTAAATAATATTAAGTAGATTTACTAAAATATTTCAATGAAATTATCACTATTTGGGGAGTAAAAATAACATTAGTTATTTAAACTAGATTCATTTAAAGAAAAGAAAAATGAGAATTGATTGATTGAGAAGGACTTAGACAATGCTTCATAAAATGGAAATGTAGTTTAGTCCATTTAGTCATTGGGTATTAGTCTTTAGTACAAGTAAGATATCATGAAGGATGTCATTTTAATCTGTATTTATTTAGTCTAACCAAAACCTTATGAGAAAATAATGACTTTTAAATAAATACAGGAAACTGACATTTTCTGTTCAGGATTAGAACCTTATGCATCATTTGAAATGGGTTATATGCAAAACAACATTAGTACTCGGAATTTAATTAACCTGGTTTCAGAACATCTATCCTTGTGGGTTTAGGCATACGCGTTATTTTCTAAAATTTCAAGCCCAAAACAAAAACAAAGAAAAATGAGAGAAAGTGACTGACCATCCACACCACATGAAAACTTGCAGTAAAATGAAGAGAGGAGCTGACATCATGGTACAGGCACGACTCGCTGTGCATATAAGTTGATCCTATTAATAACGGGCAAAGTAGCAAGTACAGGAAAAGGAAAGAAAACACAGAAAAGAAGACACACAAGATGAGATTTCATGCAATTTGCTGGCAGTGAGCAGTTCATGTGAGCGTCCATCCAGAGCAGATTCACAGTGACCATTGCAAATAAGCGTTACCAGAATACTCCACCGCTAAAGAAACACACACCATTAGCACACCAAGCTACTGAGCGAGAGTTGTACTTTCACACACAACCCAAAACATAGTGATAGAAACTTGAATTGGTGGAAATTTTTATATTATTCAAATCGTTGTTATACTTTGACAAAAGATATAGTCTCTTAGGATGAGATTATTTGGGCTAATAACAGTGTTTTTACAACATCTTTCAAGTTCATCGGAAGGAATCTAATTTCAGTCTTGGTACTGCTACAAATTAGCAACGAATAATCAATGAAATTTCTCTAGTGAGGGACACTGCCCTTGGGCCCTTTATGCAACATTCTTTGGGTAATAATTTGACACGGGCAAACCTCGTTATAGAATAATTTAACATGAGTGAACCTCAAGGTGTGGTAGATAGAATTATAGGTATTCTCATATCTAGATGTTATGTAAGTCTTACTAGGTAACAATGAAAAATAACAGCTTTGTTTTTTTCCCCTTTTAGAGAATTTTACTGTAAGGTGCATGCACTTGCTGGAGAGACAGAGACAGAGAAACAGAAAGGGAGAAATTACCCCATGGGGGTATGGCCACACCACAATCTCTTCTTCCCCATTTTCCTCTCAGGATTTTGGGCATGCACGCACATGTGCCTGTCATGAGTTTGAAGCTGCTGGGTCTGGGGCTCAAACCTTGGCTGGCCATGTGGGAGTCCAGTGCTCTAACCACTATACCATCTGCTGACCCCATTAGCTTCAACTTTAAATCATGTTCCTTATTCTGAGGAATGATCAATTGTCCTCACAGAGTTAACTGGAATTTATTGGGTAACACATCACATATTTTAGCCCTGTGTCCTACTATTGATGTTACTTCTTTGCTCCAATTTTAATATGCATTATCCAATTATATAATATGTACTGCTAAAATGCTTTATCCTTTCTGGGGCATTTGTGTAAGTAAACCTATTCTAGATAAATAAATAAGTAAAAAAAAATCCTCAAAAATGCATATAATCAATAGACATTCTGACAATTCATGAGATGATAATACTCTATGTTTTAGGGTCATTGATATGTGCAAGCCACTTATTGGGAAGAAATACCTTGAAGAATCAGAGAACTAAGGGGCCAGCTGATGGCATGGTGGTTAAGGTGCTGGTCTCCATGGCCGACTGCAGTTTGAGTTCCCGACCTGGTGACTTATTATGGTGGGCATGTGTGCATGTGGTCCCAGAATCCCAAGGGGGGAAATGGAGGAAAAGATATTGAGGCCTGGCTATCCCCCCACTCCCCGGGGTGTGATTTGTTACTTTCTTCCCCTTTCACTGTCTCTCTTTCTCTCTTCAGCAAGCACACATGCCCATGGCAAAAACCTAAAATATGACTAAACATGGATGGGCCAGCCAGTGGTATGGTGGTTACATGTCTGACATTGTGGCTGAGTCCCCAACTTGGTGGCTGGAGAAACATGCTGGGTGAGTGTGCGTGTGTCCCCAAACTCCTGAGAGAAGAATCGAAGAGAAAGGATTGACATCTGGCTATCCTGCTGAGGGGTGCTTTCTCACTCCCCCGCCTCACTTTCTCTCTCTCTTAGTGTGAATTTATGCACTTTATAACCAAAAAAATAAAAAAAAGAGAAGAAAAGAAAAAGAACAAGAAAAGACTTTAAGTGGCCTTCATCTTTGCAAACAAATTTAAATTCCATAATAATTAAAAAAAATTAAAAGCATAAAGCTTTTTACATATACATACAGTAAATCAGAATTCTATTTATTAGAGAAAGACAACTGGACTATAGGAAAAGTAGTAGTCATGTTTAGATAACAAACACTAAATATGCTTTACAATATTTTATCAAATTAACATTGCATAATTGATCTAGTCTCATTTCAAACAATAGAATTTTAATCAATCAAGGGAAATAATGCGAATTAATAGAAGTAAAACCATAAACCATGTAAAATAAATAGAACTATAATAGGATAATAGTTATAAGATAGGTTATAAAATATACTAAATAAAGACTAAACAAATCAATAAAAATAACTTTATATCTTTATTGTTGGAAATATAAATGACGGCAGCCAACACATATATCATAAATGACATTTACTCTTAGTTCTTATATACTAGAAATTCTTTAAAATCATCAGATTTGTGACGTTGGATTATTAGTAAATTGATAGGAATTGTAGGAATTGTGTTTGAAAGTACAATTTCTGTGGAAAGGACAGATAGAAGAAGCAACTGTTAAGTTTATGCTAACCATGAAAACTATCAAAATAAAAATTCTACCTACCAGCAAGTAGATCATGTCAATGAGAAAAAACTATGAGTAAGACACTATGTTTGAGTAAAAATTTCAATTTGTCTCCTTAAAATCTTGTGGACAATGACTATTAACTTATAATATTTCCATCAGATCAAAGCATCATCTTACCAAAACATTATTATCAAAGCAGACATCAGGCCCTTTTCGGTATCTGGGTTGCTTAACCATATCACAGGGATCGGGACCATCAGCTAAAGAGACTTGTTAAGAAATAGTTACTTTATTTTTCACAAGACAAAATAAAATTACAACGCAACACATTCGCTTTCCAGAGTAAGCAAGAGATACCCACGTCATTACTTTCTTCCGACAATATAAACCCGAGTACTTAGGGATTTGGAGAACTGAACCGTGAATGCTCTTTCTCTTGGTGCATATGTAGCAGAATCAGTTTTGACATTCAAACCACATTCAGGGGACAGATTCTGCTTCTGTGGAGGTGATCATAGCACTCCAATATTTTTCTCTTTACAAGCATAAACAACGAGACAAGGTTAAAAATGCACTTTTAAAAATGGCTTTCCATTTCAAACATCTCTGATGTCAAAGGATACAAGTCTGCTCCGCTTGTATGAGCAGTCGCGTGTCACAGGGACATGTCCCTTTGCTCTCAACCATTATGAATACTAAGTTGGTGTTCATAAGCTTTTCTACATGAAAGATTCTGCAAAATGAATATTAAAAGGTCACAGAAAACCAAAGAATATCTTTTGAGAAAAAGTGGAAAACTTTCAAAGAATTTAAATGTTAAAATGCAAGACAAAAATATAACATACTGAAACACAAGCACCACCATCAGAAACAGAATAAGTATGACTCTAAAAGAGAAAGTTCCCATGTTGTTGTTTATTATTAATAGCATGAATATATTCCTTCTCTCAGGTGACTACTAAAAAGTTGTAATAGAATGGTTTAAGGGTGACTTTTTTTTTTTTCAAGTATTAACCCTCATTGCAAAATATGCACTATTTAGTTATTGGGGGAACTCATTTAAGAGGTTGCATTTCCTATATTTAAATAATTGGATATTTATCACTGACAATGGGCCAAGATTGTCTTATTTTACAGATAAGAAAACTAGGAGCACAAAAACAGCTTAGCATCTTGCCCAAGCTACTGACAGAGTAAAATTTAGGTCAATGTTGTTTAACAAATGTTCTGTAAAGGCTTGAAATGTGACAAGTATGACTAAGTCAAAATTTTTAATTAACATGACTTATCTAAATTGAAATTCAAACAGGTACCTATGGCTGGTAACTACTCCATTAGACAACACAGATGTAGACAGGATCTAGTGGTTTAAACTACACCCTTTGTTTGTCTACACCATCAAAGACTTCTGTCTCCTTTAGCAGCTGACATAAAAATGAAAGTATTTCACATAAAAATAGTTACTTTATGAAGAATTTTATTTCTTTTTCCTTACTGGATTTGGAACACAAGCATAGAGAACATCAAAGGGAACAACGATTCAACTTAATACCCCAGTTACACTAATATTTGCCTTACAGATTCACCAGATTTGTTAAGCACATGTTACTATTACTGAGCATCAATTTATGAAAGGCCAAAGGACGGTGAATGTCTTTCTGATTAATCTATTAATACTGAACATGCTACAGCCCCATCTCCTGGAGTTGTAGCCTGGTATGTAGGTCTCAACAGGATGGTGTGTTTTCTCTAAGCTCATGCTCGACTATTCTTCTTCCCTCCCCTCTTTATATACTCTCCTTTTCCTTGGACACTGAGGTTTGCTAGAGAAAGTCATAAAACATATTGACCAGGTCAATGAAAAATTTGATTATTTTGCCTAACCCCTTCATGAAAATGACATTTTTGAAGAGTTTTCTTTCTTTCTTTCTTTCTTTCTTTCTTTCTTTCTTTCTTTCTTTCTTTCTTTCTTTCTTTCTTTCTTTCTTTCTTTCTTTCTTTTTGCTATAGGGCTCCTGTGTTCGCCAGACAGAGACAGACAGACAGACAAAAACGAGAAATCATCCCCCAGGGGGGATGGCCATGCAATCCCTTCTCTATTCTCCTCTCTGGATCTTGGGCACGCATGCACATGCGCATGGCCTGAGTTTTAAGTCACCGGGTCTGGACGTAAACTGCGGTCGACTACATGGGAGTCCAGCGACATATCCATTACGCTTACTGCTGGTCCCCTGAAAATGACATTTTTAACTGTCAATTTTCCTGAATTTCCTAGCAACTAACTACTCCAGCACTTTCAAAATCTCAGATTACCTCTTCCTCATATTTCCTCTTCTTTATGTGAACATTTCTTCTAGAAGAGCCTGCCCTCCTTCTCTAAAAGCAAAGTATCCCAACTCTTGCTTCATAAGCTAACTTGCTGCTCTGATCTCAGCAATCCCGTGACATGGACGGTCACTTTCCTTTCAAACGTCACAAATTCTCATGTTGCTTTTCTCTTCTATCTCATTACAATATAATTAGATTCTCTATTTCTTAAAAGTTTAAAGAGTTTTTATGGCTATCAACTAATATTAACTATGACCTTAATAATTTTTCTCAGTTCCTTCAGTTTTAAATCAAAGATAACAGTTAATTCTTCATGCCTGAGATGACTACAAAGTAAGAAAAAAACAAAAACAAAAACAACAACCATAAGAACCCAGAATATCTTTTTCTGAGCCTGTTGAGTTTATTTTCATATATGAAAATAAATAAATCATACTTGGCTTATAATTACTTAGAATAAATATAATTCTGCAACTTTATATTAGAAAGTTTTTAATATGGGTTCTTTTAGGAAGAAGAGACATTTAACATAATTAAATGTCTGTGTTCTACCTAAGAGGAAAATGTAATATTTTATAATGATCATATAATTATTATTATAGATGAAAGAATTATAACTTATCAAAATCAGAATTAATTTTAAAAATCATAAAAATTTAAAGGCCTACAAAGAATCTGAAGACCTCTGACATTTTCAACTTGAAACAGTCATTCGTATCTCTGTCTACAGGAACAATCTATTATTTTCTATAATGCTTATAAAAGTGAACACAATTTCTAAATGAAATAGGACTACTCTAGAAATAAAGAAACAAATTACCTGGAACAGTTTCCACAGTCCAGTACACCACCGAAAGATTTACTATCGTTATCGAAGAAATACTGAGTTTGTTCAGTAATGCAGCTTTGCTTTGAAAGGGAGGCCGTAAAGTCATCATCCTCCATCTCAACTGTGGGGAGTCAAACATCAACATCATGAGGGGATGCTGTAGACAGTCCCCCATAGTCCTCACTTCTCATGGAACAAGATAAATTAGAGGGCCAAATGCTTTAATTGACTTGTCTATTGCTGTGTACTATCATGGCAGCCCCTACTGTGTGCTTGTTAAATAGCAATAAAATAAATCAATTCAAGCACATAACAGCTACTAAAAAATGACTAATGTGTTTTAGGAAAGTTTCTAATATATTAAAAAATGTTTGACAATAAATTTAGCCTACTAGTGTCAGATGGATGATCTTTCTGTCTCACTACACACACACATACACACACACACACACACACACACACACACAAACTCGCTCTCTCCTACTCTCTGTTTGTTGGACTGAACACACCTAAAAGAAAATTTTAATTGTTATGACAATTATGATACCTGGATACCTGAACATTTACATACCTGCCTCAAGGAGTCGAGGAAATGTCAAACTCAAAAGAAATTGCTGTAGAATGGACCTGAATTTTTAAAATGAATAATGGTTAAAAATTCTAAAAATTTTTCTTTATAAACTTTATAATAAAAGCCTAAGTGCTTTTTGCATGTACACACACACACACAAACACACATATGTATGTAAGTTAAAGAAATCTATATATATTTCTTTTTCATCTTTTTAACATCTGTAAACAATTTGAGTTTACAGAAAGCTTAGGAGTATTTTTTTTTTTTTTGAGAGGTTTTTGCTATAGGGCGCGTGCGCTCACCAGACAGAGACAGAGAGTTTTGCTATAGGGCGCGTGCGCTCACCAGACAGAGACAGAGAGACAGAAAGCGAGAAATCACCCTCCAGGGGGGACGGCCATGCTGCAATCCCTTCTCCTCCATTCTTGGGCACGCACGCACACATGCCCGGTGTGAGTGTTAAGCCACTGGGTCTGGGACGCGAACTGTGGTCGACTACATGGGAGTCCAGTGACACAGCCATTATGCTAACTGTTGGTCCCAACATATAAATGTGAGGGGCCTTCAAAAAGTTCATAGAAAATGTATATTATGAAATAACTATGTATGAACTTAAAAGTTTCTACTCCCAAATAATATTCTGCTTTATTTCCATTTTTTCCATAAACTTTTTGAAGTCCTCTTATACTTGTGTGAATAGGCCTAAGATGTAATATTATCATGCAGAAGAATTATCTTTAAGAGTTCAGTGCATACAGCAGATGGCATAATGGTTACATTAGATAGCTGGACTCCCATGTAGTCCACCACAGTTCGAGTTCCAGATTGGTGGCTTAAAACTATTATGGGAGTGTGTCCATGTGTGCCCAAAATTCCGAGAATGAAGGAGAAGGGACTGTGGCATGGCCATCCCTCCTGGGGGCTGATTTTTCATGTTCTGTCTCTCTGCCAGTCTCTCCAGCAAGCACATGCACCCTATAGTAAAAATTTCTCTTAAAAAAAAAAAAGAGTTCAGTACATACATTTTTACAGTATTTGTCATTTTAGTGTTTAAAACTCTGTGGTATATATAAAAAAAATCCATGACCTTGTCTGTGCAATAATTTTGATTTCTGAACTGTTTATTTTAAAATATAGGATATATTTGTGACTTCAATAAGCAAAATATACATATTATCTATTGAGCAAATGGCACATTTCACTTTTATAATAAATGACAATTGAACCAATTATGAGTACAGAATAATCTAGAACAAAATTTACCTTATAGAAAAGAGAAATTTTGGACAGAAAATACAACAAAGATAATCGTGTATTTTAGGATCACTATGAAATTTAGAAAGTCTGCTTTAATTAATACATAAATATCACTGCCAAACAGAAAATACTATTTTTAAGTTAAAAATAGAAGTTCTAATTTAAAATCTTCTTTGCAACTTTAAGAAAATTATATAATCACTTAATTTTAGGTAGGAAAACCTTAACATCAAATAGAAGTCATAGATAATCTATAAGGAACAGTTCTGGGACAATATAGTAAGGTGATGCTACAGAAAAGAAAGATAGGAAGAAAGGGTGAGGAGGAGGAAGGAGAAATATAACGGATCCCAGACACAAGAGGTTTAGTTACCTGACTGACCAGAACTTAGCAATGAGAAATGTGATCTTCCAGACTTGACAGAGGGCCTCAGTAAAGAGTTTAAATGTCTTATGTTCATAGCTGGTAGGGCATAGGTGGTGGGAAAGGGAGGTAGGGAGGGCAGAATCCATGAAAAGAAAGAATTGGATCTATTTCAGCAACATGATGCCTCTAAAACCATGTCAGGTAGAAAGTCATCATGTCATGAATTTGATCACTGTAGACATTAATTTGGTAACTAAGGAAAAGAAGTAGGAACTTTGTATAAACACCTAAAATTTAAGAAAACACATCTAAATTTTAAGAAATCATCAAAGAAAAAGGAAATGAGTATTATCTAAAGCAAAGGAAGAGAGTTTCCATAGAAAAAAGAACCTCTAAAGAGGCTGCAGTATGATGCGTGTTTACATAGAAAGACATAGAGAAATAGGTCATGACTTTTCTGATGAGTCAGTTGTTGTAAGTTTTAGGGTGATCATTGAACAAACAAACCTATGTATAGCATGTACTATAGGAAATGAAACAAAGTAAGTTCATGCCACAAAATCCATTATTTTCATCAAATGCTTTATTATTTCACAATACCTTTCTCCCATTACCAATAAAACTGAAACTTTGACTTACCAGGCAGCAGCGGTAGCCCACCAGCCAATCTGTACTATGTCTGCTATTGATGGCTACAAAATATAAGAAAGTCATTCCATTAGTCTATGCCTGAGTGTCCCCTTGAGAGGAAGTGGTTCAAACACGATATTACTGACCACGTATGCTGAGCGATGCCCTGCTCCTTGCTTTGGTGCGGCACCAGGCTCACACACAGACTGATAATCGTAAGATTTGTTAAAAGCATAAACTGATATATTAACCAGGTGTCTCATCAAACTTGGATCAATCTCTCCAAAAAATCTTCCAATCTAATGAAGAAAAAAATAATAAAGTTACAAATGTGAAAATGTGAACCAATGCAGTGAACATAAATAATAGGAAGAGACTATGGACTAAAAGAATTTAGGAACTTACAAAAAGTAAAGAGAAAACCTGCCTATGATATATGAAAGTACTACAATGATATAAGGTATGCTCATTACTCAATGGTTCTGGGCAATATTTGATTTATGGAAGTAACAGACACAGGAGACTAAGCTTTAAGGTCACAATTAAATGCCTCTTATGTGACTAGAACTCAGTTGAGGGTTGAGCATAAAGTGATGTAAGTCAAAATGTATAAATGTGCAGTTATGTTTGATGAATCTGCCTAATGACTTATCTAACATGTGATCTGATGTGCAACAGAGGACTACAGTTCACAATACGGCATTGTGGAGCAGAAAAGTGCTCAGAAAGTAGATTTTACATTCCTTTATTATACACAAAAAACAGTAACTATGTGAGATGATGGCTAATATATTAACTAGTCTGATATTAATAAGCACTTAACTATGTATATCAAAACATCTTGTGTACCTTAAATATAATCGAAATGAAAACGAAACAAACAAACAAACAACAAATGCCTCCTGGAGAAGAGGAAAGTAGCATAGAAGGGAAGGGGTTAAACTACAAAAAGAAAAGGAAACTCAGGGACTGGGACTGAACTGATGTGAATCCCATCTAAAGGGGCAATCACGAATCTGCTCCAGCCCATAAGTACTGTTACTCCAGAAAACAGTTCAATAGAGAGAGATCTTTTGTTTTTATAAAATAGAGGCCAGAAATGCAAATTTACAAATGAAATGGGCTATTAACTAACTCAAATTTGTTTAAAATCCTACATGAGCCCAATAGCTTTTGTGCTGTCAATTTGCAAATTTGGGTTTAGAAACATCGGTTTCAATCAGCCATATATTACTTAAATACTTATTAAATATTTATATGTGAAAATTGTAAATATCAAAAACTATAGCTAACTTAAAAGTAGCTTTAGTATGTATTTTTAAAAAAATATTTATTTTACTTTGCTTTATTTATTATTATTTTAAAATTTTGCTATAGGGCACATGAACTTGCGAGAGAAAGCGCGAGAGAGAGATAGAGAGAGAGAGATAAAGAGAGAGAAAGTGAAAAAGCACCAGTTCTGGGACTCAAACCATGGTTGGCCACGTGGGAGTTCAGAATCTTAACCAGCACACCGCCAGCATGTACTTCTTAATGGTTTAACATTAAATTAAGCATTTTTAAAGTTTATTTTATGGCAGAAATAAAACAACTCGTCAATTTCTACAACGTTTGAAGAAGGTTTATATTGCTGATCAGGAAAACATACTTTGGAAGCCCTACTGCTCTTCTACTTCAGGTACATACCTGGTTAGTATAATCATCATGATTTGCCATCAAAAGAAACCCACCATCATCTAGAATCACACAATCCATTACCTATTAAAATAAAAGTAACACATTATAAGATTAGAAAGTTTCATTATATTATTCCATTTATATATAGATGATTAGAACAACAGAATAGGAGAAAAAATCCAAATGATTTTATCTTCTCTTGAACACGTGTTCAAGAGATTCTGATTAAATAAATTAAAGGCATGCATAGATTCATATCAAACTGCCAGGGTTTGATAATCAGCCACCAACAATCCAGTTTAGGATGTCAACTCACTCTGAACAAAGTATAAGAACAAATCAGAAATAATCTTGTTACCCTTTTCAAGGTCATCTAAATGATCCCGGAAATAGGATAGAATGAAATATTTAATGATGTAAAATTATTTTATTTTAAATACGTGCCAAAGATTTCTGACAAGAAGACATTTTAAAAAAAATATCAGGTCAGTTTTCATACTTCACACACATAAAAAAAGGCAAAGAAACATGAGACTATAACTACTACTTTGTATTTTTATATTAGAAATACTTGGTTAATTAAAAAGAGAGAGAGAGAGATTTAAAAGCCAAAAACAAAACAAATAAATGCTTGTACTGAGATTCTTCATTTACCCTGAAAGACAAATTTCACTTAGTTTAAGTCAGGTTTAAATGCATGAAAATTGACTTAATAACTTTTAATGAATAAAATAGCAACTAAAAACTATTTCATAATTAGAGATAAACACATTTATATTGCTAATGTGGAAGCAGCCTGGTAAACCTTGATTTTAAAAATAACTACTACATAGTCTATGTAAAATGGATAAGTCATTAACATTGTTTTATCAGCATATAGGATACAGATGACATGATAATTCCCTTAGAATTATACAGCCACACAAAAGATGATGAGAAGAAAATATGCAATTCTTGAAGTAATTTGTGCAATTCTTGAAATAATTTATCTTTTTATTTTTTTTTTTTTAAGATTTTTCCATAGGGTGTGTGCTCTGGCCATGGAAAGACAGAGAGGGAGAGAATGTGAGAAAGCACCACCCTACCCAGTGGGGATGTCCATGCTACAGTCCCTTCTCCTCCATCCCCATCTCTGGATTTGAGGCATGCACACACATGCATCTGGTGTGTTTTCAAACCTCAGGGTCGGGGTCTCAAAACACAGTCGATCGTGTGGGATCCAGCCACCTTAACCACAACATCCCCTGCTATACCCCTAGTATCATTCTTAAAGTATCTTTAACTTTCGAACAAAGAAAGTTCATATTTCTTTTTTAAATTCTTAAAAGGTAATAGGAGTAATACAGGGTAAAGCAAAACCCAATTTAAGTAAGTAGAACTCATAATAAATTACCTAACTGCAGCATTAGTTCACATTTTCCCAGCACTATTAAATGCAGTAATAACCAATAAGGACGCTTTGGTTAGAAACTTCCCATTCAGAAATAGTGCCAAAGATAAGTGTGCAAAAGAATCTAACACTATTGGACTAGGGAGAACAGCATCCATCTTGCCATGACTTTTTTTAAAAAAGTCTTCCCATATATTAATATATGAATGTTTTATAAAATGAAAGCATTTTAAGTTAGGAATTATAAACATGTAAACTCAAATTCATATCAACTAATTAGTTCTTTATCCACAGAATTACTTTTTTAAGTTTTGATTTAACATTTCTGCATCTTTTTCTTATCATCCCAATCTTAGCTAGAGTCACACAAGAAAATATCATAGTTTAAGTAAGTTTAAAGAGTTTCCTTACATCACTGTTCCTTTTACAGTCACAAACTGGACCAGCACACTGAAAGAGAGAAATATAATGATCACCTCACTTTTAAAAAAAAATTAATTTTAATTTTATCATATTAATTATTAACATTTTATAACTGAACATTTAAAAATAATTTATCTAGTATAAAATAATATTACATACTACTCTAGCCCATAATAAAAAAGTTTATCTTTAAAATTACAAAATAATCAGCAGATTTTAGCATTTCAAAGTTATAACATTGAAATATTTCCCTTTTATTAGGTAACTAATTAAAATTTTAAAGATGTAAAATAGGCAGTCATAATTTTGATTCAATATGGTGGCACTGAAAATTAATTTTGCCACTGTATAAGGACTTTACTTTTTTTTATTTGAAATTTAGGCATACTAAGTGTAGCATAAGATTTAAAAAAAAATTAACTTACTGGATCCCTGATAGATGTTTTGGTGAAATTCTCTATCCAGGAATTCACATCAATTTTAATTCCAACAACTGAAAAAATTACTTTGAGTAAGTTAAAAGCATAACTAGCTATAATACACTCTTTACAATAGGACAGTTTAGGCAATTCCTATGATAACAAATAAACGTTGAATTAAATATAATGTTTATTATTGAGATATATTTCTTGGGGTCTTTATTAAGTAATGTTAATAGCTTTTAAACTATTTCATAAACTGTAAATTATATTTCACCAGACAATTTATTCATGAATCATACCTGGATAATTAACTAAGATGGTAAGCTAACAAAAACAACAATGTCAGGAAAAGCTTTATAAACATGAGGACATTCAGGTGGCGTATTTTAAGACACATCCCGAACCCCCTCTAGCCCATAATAAAAAAGTTTATCTTTAAAATTACAAAATAATCAGCAGATTTTAGCATTTCAAAGTTATAACATTGAAATATTTCCCTTTTATTAGGTAACTAATTAAAATTTTAAAGATGTAAAATAGGCAGTCATAATTTTGATTCAATATGGTGGCACTGAAAATTAATTTTGCCACTGTATAAGGACTTTACTTTTTTTTATTTGAAATTTAGGCATACTAAGTGTAGCATAAGATTTAAAAAAAAATTAACTTACTGGATCCCTGATAGATGTTTTGGTGAAATTCTCTATCCAGGAATTCACATCAATTTTAATTCCAACAACTGAAAAAATTACTTTGAGTAAGTTAAAAGCATAACTAGCTATAATACACTCTTTACAATAGGACAGTTTAGGCAATTCCTATGATAACAAATAAACGTTGAATTAAATATAATGTTTATTATTGAGATATATTTCTTGGGGTCTTTATTAAGTAATGTTAATAGCTTTTAAACTATTTCATAAACTGTAAATTATATTTCACCAGACAATTTATTCATGAATCATACCTGGATAATTAACTAAGATGGTAAGCTAACAAAAACAACAATGTCAGGAAAAGCTTTATAAACATGAGGACATTCAGGTGGCGTATTTTAAGACACATCCCGAACCCCACTAATGCATGCAGTAGGTGTTTAAGAAACACTTGTTGTAAGAGTGGATAGGTGAGTGGATGAATAGGTAGGTAGGTGAGTGAGTGAATGAATGAATAGCCAAGAGAATAACTAATTAGGTAAATGAGCAATTAAGTGAATGAAGAATAAGTGAATGGGTTAGTGGAATGATGGGGTAAATCTTGCCTGCAGGAAGGCAATCTCATTTTATTTATTTATTTTTTGGGTCTTGCTAAATTATGGCATATCTAGTCCTCTCACTTCACATAGCTGTGGTTCTGGGTGTACCACTGGGCCAGAAATCAATCTGGGCCACCCATCTGGCCTAGGAAATGTGTCAACAAGCTTATACTATTACACTGGACCTGCCCTCATGAGCTCTTTTTTAACCTCAACCAATACTGAATGATATCATTAAAAACAAAACAAAACAGAACAAAACCAAAAACATTAGTTTTACTTGATGTGATTCACCAACCATAATCCACTTCTAATTTTCACTGATACTTGAGTTTTACTTTTTTTTTTTTTTGCTTGCGAGATTTATTTTGCAAAAACGTCACTTTTCTATATATTTGATTTAATAGATCTGTACATCTTTTTGGCAGGCATATAAACATCTATAGTCTAGATATGCCATAATTTAGCTTTTCCTCCAGTGGTGGAAACTTAATTTTTCATATATAAATCGTTCCAAACATGTACATGTATTTTTTGTGTGTTTGAAAGTAGGAGACACTTTTAGAGTGGGATAGCTAGATCAAGGAAACATTTAAAATTTTGCACTTAACGTTGATATATCACACTATATTGATTGCATAAATTATTGCTAATAGCATAAAAACATACCCAGTTTTTAAAAGAATCTTTTTAAAAAGAATTATTTATTGAATTTTATTTATAGTTATTATTATTTTAAATTTTCTACAGGGCATGCACACTCACCAGAGAGAGTCAGAGAGAGAGAGAGAGAGAGAGAGAGAGAGAGAGAGAGAGAGAGAGAGAGTGAGAAAAGAAGCTGGGTCTGGGACTTGAACCATGATTGGTCATGTGGGAGTCCAGTGCCTTAACCATGCCACCTCTGGACCCCCAAATTTCTACCTTAGGTAGTGTAACTGGGGTTATATCCTCAATTTTATAGGTAACTAATTTTTTTTAAGTTCCCTATTTTTTACTTCCTTTGCTTGAAGCCTTCTAATATCTTCCAGGTAAACATTGCCAGGTTATAAGTGTCAGGTCACATTTAATTTTGGTCATGTTTAAATGTATTATATGCTTACCTGCAGGTTTAAGAAGTTTTCCTTGGATATATATTTCTACAGCTTTGCTTACCATAATGCCTGATTCATAGGCACCAGGTCCACTTTCTACCGAAAAAAAAAAAAAAAAGGGAAAGAAAATAGAAAACAGAATTATTTACATAAATCAAATATATATACAAAAGTCCATCCTGTAAAGAGATGTGTGATCTCTACTTCATTCCTTCTACCTTTATATATCAGACTAGTTGGAATGTCTGAGAATTGGTTTGTATGAATTTATGTGGGGACATGAATAATTCAACTTGGTTGCATCTACCTCCACAATATGACCAAGGCATTCCGGATCCTTCCTTTACAACATTTGCTAAAATATTGGAGAGACTTGCTGAAGTGAAATGGAAAAACTGATCTTAGGTGCATACAACTGTCTTTTGTGCTATATAAGATCATATCTCTTGACAAGACTGAAATTCTGCGACCTTCAGTTTCCACATTTGTGAAAATAGGGGTAAATAATTACCTATGCCTGAAAATGGTGACAGATTAAATTGAAAAGTTTTTGGAAAGAAACCAATAAAATATTTTAAAAGATGAACAATTTTTAATTTTTATAAATATTATATTATTTCATTAATACTGATAAAATATAATTAATCAATTTGTCCTAATTTAGTAAGCATTCGTCAATATATTTTCATTTGTGAGATGAGAGATTATCTACATCTGGTTTTATTTATTGTGCATGTATGCTAGACAGGCTGTCTCGACATTATTGGATGGTCATTTGATGGTTATACATTTTACCTCTTCAACTATATGGATGTTTCTTCTTTTTTTGAAGGCCTTCTCATTCTGTATGGTTAATAATGTCTATTCTGAGCAGTCTACATAAAACATACTAATTTCGAGGAAAGCAAGTAGTAGCAATACTTTCCTTAAAAAAAAGGAATCGAGAAAGCTGAATTTCAAAACAGTACTTACTGTTAAAGTAGGGAGCAGTGAAAACATAGTTATCATTATCTAGGCTCCGTTTATAGAAGCTGTCCTCATATGTCTCTGGGTTTTCTTGCCAATTTTCTCCAGCCCTAAGGAGGAAATGGCTCATCATTTGTATTGCTTAATCTCCACCAAGCTTTACAGATACGCCTACCTCTCAGGTATGTCCAAGTTAGTTAATCATAATGGTGGTGGAACTGATAGTCATTACTAAGCAATATATCAGAATAGCCTTTTATTAAGAATCAGAAAAGGCTGACTTAGTTTTACTCTGCTGTTGTCTGGTCAGATAATTGTGAACAAGTCAATTCATATTAGTAAGTCTTGGTGCCTGATTTGCTAACCTCACAGACTGTTCTGAAGAGGTGATTAAAGAATAGTGAAAACTAGGAAGTGCTACACAAACATTGCTAGCAGGCTACAATCTTCATACTCATTTCCTTGAGAAAAATCTCTTAAGTTATGTAATAAAGACATATGACCAACATCGATATCATTGAATAACCCTCTAATATCATTGTTCAGAAAAATGAAATATTTTTAATAATACGAATACTTCAATAATGACTCCCATGTAATCTACTAACAATGATCAGTTTCTCTGAAGAAGAGCTTCCTTACAGTAATGTATAGGTCCTTGACTCAGTCTTTTACAACATGTTTATTTTTACAGATGGTATTTGAACTTACTCTTTAGGATACACTCTGGTAATCCCACCATCAGTCACAACAAACCGTGCTTTCACTCCCTTGCTGAAAAAAAAAAAAAAAAAAAAAAAAGGGAATTTGTCATAAACTTATGTTGAGAAAAATCTCTTAAGTTATGTAATAAAGACATATGACCAACATCGATATCATTGAATAACCCTCTAATATCATTGTTCAGAAAAATGAAATATTTTTAATAATACGAATACTTCAATAATGACTCCCATGTAATCTACTAACAATGATCAGTTTCTCTGAAGAAGAGCTTCCTTACAGTAATGTATAGGTCCTTGACTCAGTCTTTTACAACATGTTTATTTTTACAGATGGTATTTGAACTTACTCTTTAGGATACACTCTGGTAATCCCACCATCAGTCACAACAAACCGTGCTTTCACTCCCTTGCTAAAAAAAAAAAAAAAAAAAGAGGGAACTTTGTATTAAACTTACTTTTAAGAGACAAGGTTAAGTGGTGATGATACAAAGAGGAATAAAAACAAGTTCATAAAATAAAGGAAGTCAAAGTAAATACATCAATAGAGGTACAATTATATTTTACTAATGAATGGACCTATAAAATTGGAACGTGAAGGAGGCTTAAGGAAGACCTCTCATAGGAGATAATATGGGAAGGCATTTTGAAGATGGAATGGGAGTTAACAGAAATGACACAGAAAGCAGTGGAACTACATGTAGAGCAAAATGTGAGTCAAAGGGAAAACTCAAGAGGAGTGCTGGTGTTTGGTTTAATAAAAGCATTAACACAAAAGGAGAGAAAGAGTAGAAAATAAAGTTTCAAGTACAAACTGTTGTTGTTTTGCTATAGGGCATATGCTTGCCAGAGAAAAACAGAGAGAGAGAGAAAGAGAGAGAGAGAGATGGAAAGTGAGAAATCACCCCCTCCCTCCCCAGGGGATGGCCACATGCATTCCATTCTCCATTCTGCTCTTGGGATTTTGGGCATGCACACACATGTACCAGGTGTCATTTTTCAAGCTGCCAGATCTGGGACTCAAAATGGTGGAGTTGGCTATGTGGGATCAAGCTACCTTAACCTCTGCCTCACCTGGTGGGCCCTCTAGTACAAACTTCTTAAGAAGGATCAGCACCAGAATGATTTTGAAGCCTACACTAGAGAGTTTCACCTTATCTTGACATTAGAATTACATTTTAGAAGTAAGATTCTGCAAGGAGGGGCCAAATGGAGAACAGACTGGGAGCTGGGGCTAGAGGAAGGTGCAGAAAAATCAGGATCTATAATTGCCTTAATTATGAAGAATAGAGAAAAATACTGTTGGGGGAAATCTTTAACATTTAGTGATTGAACGGAAACGGTGAAGAGATCATAAATGAGAATCATACTTGATTTTACAATTTCTCAACCAACTCTACGGTAGTGCTTTGACAAAGCAACTGAAATTCACTAGAAATCCTATTTTACACTAACACAGAAACACATAAGCATTCTTCTTTATTCACATTGAAGTGTATACATGTATAAAGCTGAGTAATGGCAGCTATTAGCACAGAAACACACCCAAAACTGAAAATGCAAGGCACCAAACATTGTAAAATGATTATCCTCAGAAATTACTATCAAAGATAAATGAAACTTTACATTTATGATACTCATTATCTAAGTTGCCCGGGGAGAAGCTAAACTGAACTTCAGAATATGTATTTTCTGTTAACAAGAACAAATACTTACATATTTCTCTGCTTACTCCAGTAATTTTGAACAAGTTCATTTGTAAAGCCAGCATCTAGCAAGACTCTATTTATCAAATCTGTATTACCTACCACAGAAAAAAGATATCCACAGTTAGATCCACACACTTTTCAAATTAGTATAATAATGAAGAAAATATATTTTCTATTTCCAAATGCAGTTTAGAATGGATGACGCTCCTATTAATTTAATACTGATTTTCCCTGCATTTCCTATATTTATCCTGCCTCCTATTTGTCAGGAGACAGGTGAGATTAGCAGTAGAAAATCCAATTCTAAGTGAGATAAAAATATGTAAAATATGCTATTGA